CCGGGCCTTTTGAACATTCCAATCAGATATCCACAGGTGTCGTCCAGTCTGGCTCCGAATCTTCTGTGAGCCTCTCCCTACCCTCCTCACCCAACTTGAAAAACCTGCTCCTTATTCCCTGCAGTCACCTATGGCTAATAGTGGCACTTTCACCAGTCACCCAGGCTGGCAACCCCAGCCCTCAACTCCTTCTTTTCCTGCCCTCCTGACCAATCCCAAGTGCTGAGCCTGTGCCATTGACCCCAGAAGGGTTTTCTGCAGTTCTCCCTCCTTCTCCATCCTCAGCTGCCATCCATGTTGCCGTCTGTCCTAGCCAGCCCTCCTGCCGTCATCCTTCCCATCATTGCAGGTCCTCCCCATTGCCAGAATGATCATGGCATCCTCAGTTTGCACATGTCTAGTTATTCCCCAGGGCTGGTGGGGTCAAGCCTAAACCCCTCCGGTGTGGCCCTGCTCTTGTGAGGCTGGTTTCCAATACTCCTGGCTCCTCTCCACCCACCTTGACCTATAGCCTCCATAAACCTTCTCTCAGTCCCTAGATATATGCTGTTTTGAAAGATTCTGTAGTTAGCCAGGTGCTGGTGACTCACACCTATAATCCTAGCTACTCAGTGGCAGAGATCAGGAGGATCACGGTTCAAAGGCAGCCCAGGAAAATAGTTCACGAGATCCTATTTCAAAAAAAACCCATCACAAAAAGGGCTGGTGGAGTGGCTCAAGATGTAGGCCCCAGTCCAAACCCCAGTACTGCAATCAATCAATCAATAAATGAAAATGTTGTGGCTTCACAAATGCATTTCTTGCTTCCCACATTACAGCCTGCTAAGTTCCTTTCATCTCTTAAGATCCAGCTCAGATACCAGCTCAGTAAAGCTTTGCCTTCTTCCCTTCCTTTGGGAGCCCATCTTCCTTAGAGCTCTCCAGAGTGTCTCCCCTCCCTCCTGTCATCACTCAGCACCTTGCCATGGTCCCCTGGGATATGTTCACTTGTCTCTACTACCAGACTGAACTACACTAAAGCAGGAGCTGTGTCCTGCTCATCTTGGCAAATTCCTCCTGCTGTTCACTGAATAGAAAGAACTGAATTTGGGAGTTTTTTCCTACTTATAAATTCAATAAAGGATGCTGGGCAGTCTAGCAGTTGAGGGGTTTCACCTCAACTTCTCCATATGAAGCTTAGCCCTCAGCATCCTTTGCATAACTGCTTGATCCACTTAAGAGCCAGTGGGTGCTCAGTGAATGGGAAGGAAGGTTGGTGCTATTGGCTGTCCATTTGTGATTTACAGTGCAAACACTTATCCCAGCCGATCAGTGTGGTCCTAACTTGAAAGACCCTTTCTCTGAATGTGTCTTAACCGAGGATGTTCCCCGAACCAGCTCTTCAAAGTCAGAAAGGAAGCATGCAGCAGCTTTTGTCAGTGCCTTCCAGAGTGGGTTCTCTCATTCAGCCCCAGTGATGGAGCTCCCTCCATTTGTCAGGCACCATACCAGGCATGAGGAAGCCTTGGCCTCTCAGGTTTGCCCTCTCCTGTCCCCGGAGACAGACTGACTTTGACTCAGGTTCTTGCCCATCCAGTGCCTCTGGGTTCTTCGGTGAGCTGTTGGCCCCTTCTGAGCTTGGACTTTTCCAGCTGCAAAGCAGGATGACCCCTCCCTTACAGTGTTGTCCTGCAAGTTCACTGAGGAGGTGTGTGGTCACGTTTCTCAGCTAGGGCTCCTCTGCAGAGTCACAGAACATACAAGCTGACTATAGTGGCTTTTCTCCAATCTCTCCCAGTGGAGTATAACAAGTATAATCTAGATGCATAGAAGAGAAGGTAGGTCACTGCAAATAGTGGATTTTAAGTCTCTCAGAGCACCACATTCTTTGAGAACAGTGGCCACAACTCCACAATGGTATCGTGTGGTGAGCCTGGCACATAGTCGACACTCAGTGAATGTCACACCCCTCCTGCAGCCCCTCCTCCTCTCTCCCCTTTCTCCCAGGCCTCAGCTTCTCTTGAAGCCACACACAGCTTTCAGAGAGGACCCAGCTTTCCTCAATGGGAAGTCCCCTCACGGCTCAGTGTTTTTGGCTTGTCTTCTCAAGCAAGGTGTGTCTGAGTCCTTGGGCCCCTGCCGTGATGCAGGTCTCCTAGCATAGGGGAGTGCTTCCTAGAGAAAGTGGAGGCCTACAGTGTGCAGCACTTGTTGCCAAACCTCCCTGAGGGGCCGCTCACCTTGGGCCCTTTGCCACAGCCCAGGAAGCTGAAGGATGGACTGGGCCTTGATGCACCTGGCTACCCAGTGTTCCCAGCCTCCTAGTGGGGACAGGCTCTGTTAAGGGGGTCTAGGGCCAAACCTTGAAGATTTTAGAAAAAGGCAGGGGGATCAGTGTGGACAGGGTATCATCCCCTCCATCTCCATCCCACCCCAGAATCCGCTGCTTGGCTGCCAGTGGTGAAAGAAATTGCATCTGGCCATGGGCCTCAGGTTGCATATTAGACGTGCACCTTGGCCAGGTGTATATATGCCAGCACCTGAAACTGCTACCAGAGCTGCCTCTCTGTTTCTCTGTCCCATGGTGACTCAGACGCCAGTAACCAGTTCATGGCTGCTGGGTCTGATTTCAGTGGCTTGAGCTCCCTCCCTATGCTCTGGCTGGGTTTCTGCTCACTTGGAGTGGGAAGCAGATGCTGAGCCCTCATCTTCCTTGCAGATGGAAGGAAGACAATTGCTAGTCGTTCATGAAATAACCTCAGGACCATCCCTCCAACTTCAGGTGGCTTCCCAGACCTCACTTTATCCACATTCCAAAAGCCACCAGAGCAGAGGTGGTATTCAGAGGAAGGATGTGGACATGGTATCTGGTGCCAAGGAGGTTGGAGGGAGGTACAGGCTGCATAGGATGAAGCCTGCTCAGAGACAGTGATTTTGGGCTGTGTGCCCAGCTCTGGATGGGGCCCTGGGAGTGGTCAGACATGTCTTGCCCTCCAGGAGCTGTGACCTGAGTGGGAAGATGAGAGTTATTATCTGTGAGCCAGGCGTGGTGGCACATCCTGTAATGCTAGCACATGGGAAGCTGAAGCCAGACAATCATGAGTTTGAGGCTACATAGTAAGACCCTGTCACAACAAAACAAGCCAGGTAGGTGCCTGTGACTCAGGCCTGCAATCCTAGCTACTTAGGAGCCTGAGATCAAGAGGATCACTGTTTGAGGCCAGCCCTGGCAAATAGTTTGTGAGACCCCCATCTTCAAAATAACCAGAGCAAAATGGCTCAAGCAGTAGAGTGTCTGCTTTGCAAGCATGAAGCCCTGAGTTCAAACCCTAGTCCTACCAAAAAACAAAAAAGAATTGGAGGCTTCCAACAAAGGCCTCCTGATGGAGGTGAAGCTGGGCCTGAAGAATGGGAGCCCCTGGTGGAGTAGTGAGGGCCTGGAAGTGAGGTGCAGATATGCAGGCCAGTGCAAGTCTGATTCCCCCCACACGCCTCACAGCTGTTCCTCACAGAGCCCCAGCATGGCTGTGGATCAGACCTGAACACTGCACTTATGACCCTGAAGGGGAGAGTGTAGAGGAATTCCACTGAGGGAGAGCAGGATGACTGCTTAGGTGAAGAGGAGGGCTGGAGTCCCTAGCAGGTACCAGATGGGAAAGACAAGGCTGTGCTCTAAGGACCTTTTTTTTTCAGTGCTGGGGTTTGACCTCAGGACCTGGTACTTGCTGGGGAAGTGCTCTGCCACTAAGCTACATCCCTAGCCCCAAGCAGGATGTTTTCATTTTTTTGAGACAGGGTCTCATTATGTAGCACAGGCTGCCTTCAAACTCATGGTCCTCTTGCCTCAGACTCCCAAGTGCTGGGATTACAGACTTGTATCATCATGCCCTTCCGTTAGGACTTTTTTTTTGGGGGGGGGGTCTGGGGTTTAAACTCAGAGCTTCATGTTTACAGAGCAGGTGCTCTATCCTTAGGCCACACCTTTAAGTCTTTTTTGCTCTGGTTATTTTGGAAATGGGGTTTCATGAACTAGTTGCTTAGGCTGGCCTCAAATTGCAATCCTCCCAATCTCAGCCTCCCCAGTAGCTAGGATTGTAGGCATGAGCCACCTGAAGACAGCTTTGTTAGGAAATGTTTTGAAAAGAACTTAAAAAAACAAACAGAAAACATTTTTCTGGCTTTTCATCTGAGCCCTTCATATCGCTCCTCCTGGCAAGTGCACTTGATTTAATAAATCAGCATTGGCAATAGCAACATCATTCCATGACCTTATACTTGTCCTTTAAGAAACAAGAGGAACAAATGATTTCTGTAAAATAAAAAAAAACAGTACAGAAAGGTTATGAAGTGGACTGGGGTGTGGCTCAGTGGTAGAGAGCCTAGCATGCACAAGGCCCTGGGTTCCATCTCTTACACTGCAATGAATAGAGAAGAATAATTAAGAAAAAAAAAAAAAAAAACAGGCACTCTTGGTTCATGCCTGTAATCCTAGCTACTTGGGAGGTTGAGATTGGGAGGATTGCAGTTCAAGGCCAGCCCTAGCAAATAGTTCATGAGATCCCCATCTCTAAAATAACCAGAGCAAAATGGACTAGAGGAGAGTGTCCGTTTTGCAAGTGGGAAGCTCTGAGTTCAAACCCCAGTCCCACTAAAAGGAAAAAAAAGAAAGGCTATGAAGTGATAAGTCTCCACCTCCACCACCCCACTAACTACCCCACTCCCTGGAAGTAAATACCAAGAGCCCTTTCTAAGTCTATAGGGTGCTAAGAACCTGTGTGGTCCCTCCTCCCAGGCCTGGAGAGCAGAAGGCTTGCTTAACTCAGCAGGGCCGCCCTTCCAGAAAGGGAGAAGGGATTTTGGTTCCAGTGTGGCAGGTAGGACAGAACATTCAAGAGAGGCTGCTGAGGGCACTGGGAAGGTGACTAGCATCCTCACTGCAGCTGAGTGTCACGGGTTGCCTGCTGGCCCTTGGCCAGGGCTTTCTTCTCCCAGTACCTAATGCCTCTCTTTCACCTTTCCAGGATCCCTCCGTGACCCAGCTGACCAATGCCGCACAGGGTGGCCTGGCTGAATTCAACCCCTTCTCAGAGGTTGGTGAATGTGCCCACTCTCAGAGTCCTGTGGTCCTGTGGGTTGTAACAGGGTCTCTGGGGCAAAGATCCATGTCAGAGAAAGAAGCAGCTCTGAGAAGCTGTAGTCCTCAAATGTGAACTCGAGGTGAGGCAAGAATGGGGATGTCATGAGAGGTTTCTGAACCTCTCCCCATGGGATCCTGGCCTGGGCCCTTCCCTGAAGAGGACAGGGCAATGACTGAGAGCTCTGGATCCACTATGGCCAGGAAACCAGGTTAGAGGTCATCGTGTCCTGAGCCTGAGCCTTGTGGGCCAAGAGCAAAGCCCAGACCACATGGCTCTCACCCTGTGAGGTTGCCACTGGTAGAGCGCACTCAGTTCTCAATTTTGATCTGTCCCACAGACAAATGCAACAACGACAGTTCCTGCCACACAGCTACCTGGCCCCTCGCAGCCAGCAGTTCTCCAGCCCTCAGTGGAACCAACTCAGCCAACCCCTCAGGTACTGGTGACAAAGAACCCTTGGCCTCCATTCAGGGAGGGAATCACCCAGACCTGTAGCTGAACTCCAAGGCTGGAGGTAGGCAGAGGGCCTTAATCCTTAGCTCCCCTGCAGGGGCCCCCTTGCTAATTTCTCTGGACCTGGTCACTTACAAACGGAGGGGCTGCTTTACCACCCAGTGTCTCCACCCACGCTATCCCACATCCCACTGCCACTACCAAAAATAAGCTCTACTTACCAGGTTGGGGTCCTTGTTGTCTTTTGAGAGAGCGTTTGCCCTGCTGTGGCACTGCAGATCCCCCTGGGCCTTTGGCTTCTTCTCTTACCTGGGCCCAGTAGTCTGTGTTTGTTTGGTGGTGCTGAGGGTCAAAGCCAGGGTGTCATCTGTGCTAAGTACAGGCTGTATCACTGGGCTACATCCCCCAACCCATCTCTCTTTTTTTCAGCCTCATCTGTTTCTGCCTTCCTTCCTATTTTCCTTCCTCCCTTTACCAAATATGATGAATCCTGTTTGCTTTGTGCCCAGTACTCCCCTCTGTCACCTCCCTACCCTACCCTTGTGAGCTGCGGGCCACCCCTGTGACATGACCCACAGCGGAGTTGTGTGTTGCAGCTCCTGCTTAGGCAGGCCAGCAAGTTCCTGCCTGCCCGATTCCTGGCGGCGGGTGAGCTCTCAGAGAGGCAGATGCTGCTAGGAGGAGATAGTTTTCTCAGAGACAGCTACATGCAAAAGCTTCCGAAGGTAGGCCCAGTATAGATGAGGAAGAGGGAGGGCCGGGCCCTGGAGCCTACTCAGTTTGGGTCCTAGAACCCTGTGGAGGCGAGGCAAGTCCTGTATGCAGTGTGACTTTTTGTTCAGCAGAGGATAGGGTGGGCTGCTGGGACCCGGGTTCTGTATCACTAAAGGCACAGACTTGAGGAGAGGAGGTTAAGACCCTCAGTATGGTGCTGTGTGGTCAGTTCTCCTGCCTCTGTCTCCATTGCCTCAAGTTCATCTCTCAGAGGCAGCGTTGGCTCTTTGGAGAACTTCTTTTGGTGAGGTGTTCATATGCATACTGCCTGATTTGTCATCCTGTGAGCAAAGTGCACTGTAGTCTCATTCTTCAGGAAGAAACTGGTGACACCATGGCAGTAGCCATCAGGAACAGGGCCCTGAGCCCAGTTCTGCTCAGCCTCACTGAGTCTCTGAGCTGCCTTGCTTGGAGGCTCTGTTCTACCTGCCAAGGAGATAAAGCTTAGATTCTAGGCCAGCAGACCAGGGCCACACCTCAAGGGGACTCTGGGGGAGGGGTGGCAGTCATAGTTCAGGTGATCAGCGCTATTCAAGTGGGCCTCGGAAAGCAGCTTCTGGGGCAGAGCCAGGAGTTGGGGTGCTTCAGTATAGATCCTCAGGACTCCAGCACACATGTCTGCCCTGAAGTGTCTCTGCTCTGTGCTCACTGCTGACACTTTGCACTGTCCCCTCTCCACACACCCACACCCTCCAGGCTCTACACATGGGGTTGGGGGCCTCTGGATTTCTGGCTTGAGGTTAGTCTGTTGTGAGGTCTTTTCCCTCTGCTATTACTGCAGAGGTCTCTATAACTGAACCCAGCCTGGACTCCACTAGAGGGCCAAAGGGTGAAGCCAGGGGGATAGTTTTTCTATCTCAAGCCTAGGACTGAGGGGAGTCCTAGTAATGCCTGCGGGGCCACAGGTGGCATGAGGACAGGGGGAGACAGGTCTGCCTGGCTTCTCTATGGTGTTCCTTGGTGCCTGAGTCACTCTGTGGGGCTTGGACTGCCTCTGGGACTCCCTGCCTGGGCCAGGGGACCTTTGTTCACCTGCCCAGGTTGACACTGTTCCTCTTGTCTCCTGTCCTGGCTCTCTTTAGGCTGTGGCGGCTGCAGCCCAGGCAGGACTGCTCCGGCAGCAGGAAGAACTGGACAGGAAAGCTGCTGAGTTGGAACGCAAGGAGCGGGAGCTACAGAATGCTGCAGCCAACTTGCACGGTAAGGGAGGCTGCCAGGGCCCAGCCTGCCCTGTCTGCTGCAGGAGAGTAATCTGAGTCCTGCACAGATGGCCCTCCCCACACTTACCTGGGCTGTCTTCTGAGGCAGCTGCAGAACTGGTGGAGCTCTTGATCCTCTCAGAGGGTGCCAGTCATGGGGAGAGCAGCAAGTTGGAAGTTGGGAGACCGGTAGGATATTCCTAACAGATGTAGTTTCTTTCTGCACTCCTCCCAGCTCTGAAATTCTTTGATTCTTTGATGGCATGGTGGCACTGGACCCACAGGTCTTTGCTAATGATGATGACCCCAGTTGCCTGTTTATGGGCTGGTTGTTAATAAAAATAGTCACTTAGTCTAGGCACCGGTGGCTCACGCCTGTAATCCTAGCAACTCAGGAGGCAGAGATCAGGAGGATCAAGGTTCGAAGCCAGCCTGGACAAGTAGTTCTCCAGACCCTATCTCGAAAAACCCATCAGGATAAAAGGGCTGATGGAGTGGCTCAAGGTGTAGATCCTGAGTTCAAACCCTGGTACTGCCAAAAAAGAAAAAAATAAGTCACTTAGGCCATTTAGTTCTCCGTATTTCCCAGTGCATTTGGGCTCCATTATCTCTGAGTGAGCTTGTGGGCGTCTGTTTGGGTCCCTATTCCATCTCACTTCATGCTCCACAAAACCCCAGAGCCCCTTGACAAGCCCCATTCTACCCATCAACTGGGCCAGCATGCACACTTCTCCACGTCAGTTCTGAGGCTGGGCCCTCCCCCTGCTGTCTCTTTCCTGTAGTGAGAGAGAACAACTGGCCGCCCTTGCCCTCATGGTGCCCTGTCAAGCCCTGCTTTTACCAGGACTTCTCTGCTGAGATCCCTGCCGACTACCAGCGGATCTGCAAGATGCTGTACTATCTCTGGATGTGTGAGTCCAGCTCCTGCCCTTGGAATTCTGGGGTGCAGTGTGTGTGCTGTGAGAGCCCCGTCTTTTTTCTTTTTGCTCCTCCTTGGTGGTGGAGACTTCCTGCAGACTCTAGCCTTCCCAGTGCCTGGGCTGGTGTGAGGAGATCTCTTCTGCCCACCAGCTGCTGCCTGGCTGGGAGCCTACTCAAGAGAGCCAGTCCAGGCTACTGAGCAAGTGGGATGGGACTAGCCAGAGGCTTCCAAGCCCCTGAAGAGCTCCCTGCCAAAAACGGCCTGCCATCGTTGAAGGCCTTGCCTCCCCCCAGGCCTTTAGGAAAAAGACTCTCCCTTAGCTTCATCATGGGGCAGGGAAAAAGGTCACTTAATTTTTCAAGAATCAGCCATGGGTCTGTACCTCCCTATGTCCCTCCTTCCCCCAAGACCTGGGCAGGTCTGTCACCTGTCAGGAACTTAGTTTGGTCTCTGGTGTGAGGTCCCAGGAAATCAGGATTTGAAAGCTAACCCTACCTAGGTCGGTCTGAGGTCCTGTCCTATTTCTGCAGCTGCCCTCACAGCATGAACCTCATTTCCTCTCCTAGGGAGTGGCTTGCCCTGTGGGGGAGCCCTTTAGCCATCTTGGCTCAAGCCACATCTCTCTCCTCACCCCTTCCCCAGTGCATTCACTGACTCTGTTTCTGAACCTGCTTGCGTGCCTGGCCTGGTTCACAAGTGACGCTTCCAATGGAACGGCCTTTGGTCTCTCCATCCTGTGGTTTGTGATCTTCACCCCCTGTGCCTTCCTTTGTTGGTACCGCCCCATCTACAAGGCTTTTAGGTGAGTGGGGCTGGGGGAAGGGGTGAGAATATGGCTGGCATCCCAGTAGCAGGCAGTGGATCCCAGGCCCATGGGTCCCATTTCAATCTTAGCACAGCACAGTGATGGGAGAAGTGCACTTTCCCATACCTACCTGGAGCCAGAGAAAACGGATCAGGAAGCCGTTTTTCACAGTTGTACCTGAGATCTGCTCTGTGCCTTATCCTTGGATAAGCACAGGAGACCTAGAGGGCATCTGGAGTGTTACCTGCCATCCACTGTACCCAGTCTGGCTGGCAGGCAGATATTTCAGTTGCTGGATAGAGAGAGCTCCTTTCTGAGATTCTGAGTGTGTCTCGTTGAGAGTGTTAGGTGGGCACACTCAATAGCCCATCCCTTGTTCTCACTTCTCCCCAGTGATGCTCGGCCATATGTGGAGTTTCAGGACCTAGAATAGATCCTGTAAGCCTGAATGGAAGCCCCCTCACAGACCCTGGGGTTTTGGAATTGTACCTCATGGTTGATGCTTTCAGAGCTGAGAGGCCAGCAGACCCTAAGAAGTGTGGGAGCAGAGGGCAGCTGGACTATCCCATGCATCATTAGGCAGGTCCTGAACTCCCACTGTATTCCAGTCCACAGAGGTGCCGAGGTGCTTAACCCTCGAATCCTATCCAGTGTTCCTACTCTCCGACTACCTTCCTTTCTTTCCACAGGGTATTGGGGTTTTTTTTGTTTTTGTTTTTCTGGTTTACAGTCAAACTCAGGGCCTCGTGTATATGTGCTGTACCACTGGGCTACACTCCCAGCCCTAGTTTACAGTTTTATTATTAGAGATTTATGCCTTTGGGTTAGATTTTTCTTTCCTGCTATGAAAAGCAAGTATTCCAAGAGATGGACCTCTTTATATTGTCCTTTGAGTGAGCAGTTTGCTGTCTGTGCTGGGGTCAAGCTCTGACCCCTTAAATTGGGAAGCAGTAAAAGGCTTCCCAATCCACAACCCTTGTGGACTGTGGTGTACACCCTTTTGGACAGTGTGACTGGTCCCTGGGGCTCTGTCTGCTTGTCCCTCCTGTGTCCTGATGCCAAGTAAGGAGAAGTGTCACATCACGTAAGGAGTGCTGGAGAGCATGGCCCCAGTCCTCCTGTAACTTCCTATTTCCCTCTCTCCACAGGTCTGACAACTCTTTCAGTTTCTTCGTGTTCTTCTTCATATTTTTTTGTCAGATAGGGGTCTACTTCATCCAGATGATTGGCTTGCCTACCCTGGGGACCAGGTGAGAGCTGGGGCATCACAGGGAGTTAGGCTTTGGATATAGGGCTCGGCTTTCTTCCCCTGTTTCCTGGCTCCTAGAGAGCCCCACAGATGAACCCACTTCTAACATGGTAGGGAGGAGCTGGGCGAACCTGCTTGAATGGATCTTGGACCCCTTTCCAGGTCTTTTTATTTATTTGTGGTGCCGTGGATTGAATGCAGGGTCTTGCACATGCTAGGCAAGTGCTCTCCTATTGAGTTGCATCCCCACGCCCCCTTTCCAGTTCTTTTCCAGTAGCAATTTACTGTCTTCCCTTGCTCTTCACTCTCTAGGCTGTGTGGGTGAACTTGGCTTGGATGTTTAAGACTGACTGGCACTGAATTCATCCTCTTCCTTTTCTCCTGCCATACCCTCCTAGAGGCTGATGGATGCCCTGGCGTTTGCAGCCTCGGAGGGCCTTGCACCTGTAGGAGATGAGGCCCAGCCTTCCCTGGACAGGCTTCTTTTGCTCCTCCTTAAGCACGTGGCTGGCTTGAGTTTTCTTGCTACCTCAATCCACAGCTCAGAATTAATTACCAAAAGGAAAGCTCATGGCTGATGTTTTCCTTTCTACCCCAGTGCACAGGGAGCATTGCAGAAAGGTCAGGCTGGCACTTGGGTGAGAGCCTGAGCCTGCAAGGGTGACACTATTTTAGTCCACTCCCTGCAGTGAGACTGGCAAGTCCAGTGCATGAGGAGGGGGCTGGGACCCCTGGCACTCCAAGCCAGTGCATGCTGCCCTCTCACCATCCCACTTCTCTCTCTGCTGTTTTTAGTTTGATCCTTTGGGGTTTTTTGGTGGTACTGGGTTTGAACTTGTCCTTATGCTTGCTAGGCAGGTGCTCTACCATCTGAGCCACTCCACCAGCCCTTTTTGTGAAGGGTTTTTTGAGATAGGGTCTCACAGACTATTTGCCCAGGCTGGCTTTGAACTGCAATCCTCCTGATCTCTGCCTCCTGAGTAGCTAGGATTACAGGCATGAGTGCCGGGCTAGTCTAGCCCCTTTTGATCAATGGCCCAGTTTCATTATTCATTACCCTAAGCAAGATTCTGGTAGAAAGACTGTGATTAATAACTGCCATTTGCACTCTGGACCCGGAGGTGGAAGCTTGAGTTCTTATCCTGGCCCCGCCCTTCCCTCCTCTGCCTGGGCCCACCTAGATGAGCTCTGCAGCCTCCAGCCTCCTTTCTACAGCCCTTCCATCACCACACCCTTTCTTGTACCTCACAGCACTCTTTTATATTTATTGTAAAATGCATGTAACATAAAATTCCCTATCTCATTTAGCACTGAAACCACTTAAGACTATATAATTCCATGGCATTTAGTACATTCGTAATGTCACCTCTATTTCCAGAACATTTCTATCAGCCTAGGAGGAAACCCTATACCTCCTAAGCAGTCATTCCTCATTCTCTCTTTCCCCAGCCCCTGACAGCCATTAAACTGCATTCTGTATTTATGGATTTGTCTATCCTGGACATTTTATATGAATTGGATCATGTAATATATTGCCTTCTGGCTTTCTTCATAGAGCATAATATTTCCAAGATTCATTCATGTTTTGGTATGTATTAGTACTTCATTCCTTCTTCTTGTGACTGAATAATGTTCCACTGTAGGGATAGTCTGCTTTTATATATTCATCAGTTGATGGACATTTTGTAATCCTAGCACTCAGGAGGCTGAGGCAGGAGGATTGTGAGTTCAAGGCCAGCCTGGACTATGTAGTGAGATCCTGTCTCAAAAAAAATGAAAAGTTACTTCGACTCTAAGGATTTTAGCTCTTATACTTCCATTTCTGACTTTCTTGGAGTTAATTTTTCTATATAGTGAAGTAAGTTTCAGTTGTCCCAGTGCCATTTGTTGAAGAGACTTCCATTTCCCTTTGGTTTTAGTACCCTTGTCAAAAATTAATTGGTCACAGATTTATGGTTTTATTTCCGGACTCTGAACTCCATTTCATTGATCTGTTTGTCCACTCATCTTTATGACTGCCTTTGTGCTTTTATGCCAGTCTCATACTGTTTTGATTACTGTGCCTTTGTAGTAAACTCTGAGATCAGGAAATATGAGGATTTCAGGGGCTGTCCTTGGGTCCCAGTGGGAAAAGCTGAGGTGACAGGATGAAGGCAACAGGCTGGCTAGTGCTCCTCCTTCCCAGAGAGTGGGAGTGAGCAGCCAGGCCTTCCCTGCCCCCAACCCCAAGCAGCAGGAGAAGGCTGAGCCCAGTGTTGCTCCTCACTCTGAGGGCATCTGCCACATCGGTCCTTCTAGACCTCAAACAGCCAGAAATTCCCCATGTGAATCCACCTCTGAGGCTCCAGGGGAAGCCACATGGGCAGCATGGGGCCTATCCGTCCTCACATAGGCCTGGTCTTACAGGCCAAGGGTTCTCAGCCACAGCTTTCCTGTGCTGCAGGGAGACCCCCAAGTGGTGGTCCGGATACAGAGGCCTCTTGGAGAAGAGCTCCCCATGGGGACTTTCCCTTTGTAGTGGTTGTTCTCTTCCCTTTGTAGTGGTTGGCTTGCGGCCCTGTCTGCACTGAAAGAAAAGCCCTTGGCTGTGTCAATTATCATGGTGGTGGTGGCTGGCTTCTTCACCCTCTGTGCTGGGCTCTCACTCTTCCTCCTGCAGCGGGTAAGTAGGGGATGGGCCAATAGCAAACCCAAGGAAGCAGGTGCTTCTCTCCTGCCTTGGCCACAAGGTGCTCCTCACCTTTGCAGTTGGGCCCCCCAGAGGTCCAGTGCCTTTGTCCAAGGCTCTACGTGGACAGCCAGGCAGGGTTGGGCTCCCAGTGTCCCCTTGGAATGTAACCTGAATGGCTAGGATTGTGCTGTACCACAGGGCAGGCTCCTCTCACCCAGCCTCTTTCCCCAGGTGCACTCCTTCTACCGCCGGACAGGAGCCAGCTTCCAGCAGGCCCAGGAGGAGTTTTCCCAGGGCATCTTCAGTAGCAGAACCTTCCGCAATGCTGCCTCGTCTGCTGCCCGAGGCACCTTCCAGGGGAACTAGTCCTGCTGACTCTCCTTCCCTGTGCCCCAGCCTCTTCTCTCTCCTGCCTTCTGAGCTGCACTTTCCGTGGGTGCCTTATGCAATGGTTATGCCCGGCACAGACCTGGTGGGGGTCTTGTCCTGGCTCTTCCTCCTTCCTCAGCAACCGGCTGTCCCTTCCATCTGAAGGAAGGGGAGGGAGGGACAGGGAATTTTTTTTACACAAGAGAAAAGAAAAAATAACAAAGCTGTCTTTCCTTCTCTGGTGGTAGTTTGCTAGGATTCTTTTGTCTGGAAGCAGTGGGACTGAAGTTGTGTTTCCCCTTAATGAAGGAACACACACACACATACACACACACACGCCTGTGGCCTCCACAGCCCTGCCCTGCCTGCCTAGGCTAGGATAAGCCTCTCAAGGGCTCCATTTTAGGTGAGCTGAAGTCTGGGTAGGTGGGCAGTTCTCTTCCCCAGATTACACTGGGGTGGTCTTCCAGCCTCCAGAGCCTCTGACCTGGTTGCCCCAGCCTTTCCTCTGCCTTTGTTCTTCACAAGTAGGTTCATAGCCCCTTAGGTCCTTTGTAGCCTCCTGGTGTTGATAGCACCTGGGGCCCTCCCTGAGCTCTTCTCTTCAGACCTTCTGAATGTATAATGAGGTTGTTTGGGATTTGGGGATAGAGAGAAATAAGGATATTGATCCCAAGTTGTCCTGCTCAGCTTTTGGCTGTCTTCTAGGTGGGTGGGTCTGGCTGTCCAGGTGTCATTTGGCTCTGTTTGTCTTGATTTTCTCTTCTCCTGAGACCAGCTGCTCTCTGCCTTAGCCTTCCTTCTTACTTAGCAGTATCCAGCTTGGACAGTTCTTTGGGAGGGTGGGGGAATCAGACCAGAACTGTCCTGCAGGCAGGACTGCTGAGCCACCTTTCTGAGGTTTCCTCCTACAGAGTACAATCTAGGTCCCTTTCCACTCACCTTGAGGGTTTTCCTAGAGGTGTCACTGCATAGACACCCAGGGGGCCACCAGTGAAGCCTTCACCCTGTCCTGCAGAGCTACAGGAGCTGGTGTGTAGGCTATGGGAACTTATCACCAAGTTGGCCAGTCTCCTGCCTCTGGGTCCATCTGTGGCTATCAGCTCACAAGGGCCAAGAGCCACAGAATGACAGTGACAGCAACCAGGGTTTTGTAAATTTCCTGTTTTTTTTTCCCCTCCATGTACAAATGTATATGTTGGCCGGGTGCCAGTGGCTCATTCCTGTAATCCTAGCTACTCAGGAGGCAGAGATCAGGAGGATCACTGTTCGAAGCCAGCCCGGATAAATAGTTTGCAAGACTCTTATCTCGAAAATAACCCATCACAAAAAAGGACTGGTGGAGTGGCTCAAGGTGTCGGCTCTGAGTTCAAACCCCAGTACCACCAAAAAAAAAAAAAAAAACCCACAAATGTATATGTTGTTTCAATTTTTGTGCTTAAATAAAAGACATTTTCAGACAGCACTGGTCCTGGTGTCTGCTAGACTTGGGAGGACTGTGGTTCAATCAGGGTAGGGGCTGAGGGCCTCCTAGGATAGGTGAGGGGACATCTAGATGGTCTCTGACTGGCTTGTGACAAGTGGTCAAAGCCTCTCATCTCTGAGGACGGAGGAACCCTTTCCTAAGAGTGAAAGGCAGATGAGAGGCCCAGGGGAGACAACTTGGGAGTCTTCCAAAGGCATTTTGTTGTCCAGTTGCCCCACTTTCAGAGCTACTGATGTTGGCAGGCAGGACTTGGGGCCCTCCTTGAATCTTCCCTGCACCCCAGCACCTGCTCGCTAACTCCTCCCCTCCTGCCCCTTCAGTGGGTGATCTCTAGGAAGCTGCCACTGGGTGATCGCAGCTGTCCCCAAACCCGCCTCTTGGGGCCCGGCGGAGAGCGGGTGCGGGCGGGGGGGAGGAGCTCTGGCGGGGGCGGAGCCTCGCTGCGCTTCCGGCGGGCGGTGCGGGGGCCGCGTGGAGCCCCGCCCCGGCGCCCCGCGCTCGGCCCACTCGGCTCCGGGCCGAACCCGGCGCCGGGAAACCGGAAGCGCCTGGCGGCCGGCGCGGGATGGCTGGGCCCGGCTGGGGTCCCCCACGGCTGGACGGCTTCATCCTAACCGAGCGCCTGGGCAGTGGCACGTACGCCACCGTGTATAAGGCCTACGCCAAGGTGGGTGTGGGCGCGCCGTCCCCGAGGGGCTCCCGGTGCCGAGCACCTATGCCCGCCAAACCCGAGCAAGCCCAGCCGGGCGCCGGCCGGGAGAGCTGGAGGGCCCGCGGCCTGCCTTCCGCCAGGCTGACCTCCGGTGCAGGTTGGAGCTGATCGCCATGCTGAAGTCTTAAAAACAAATATACACACACCCGCGTTTGGGCTGCAGGGGCGGGCGGAGACCTCGGTGGAGCCTCGGTGTCAGTGGCTGGGGACAAAACGGAAGTTGCCTGGTGGGCTGGGAGGAGTCTGGGACTGGACTCCAGGAGGCAGGACCAGTTAGGCATGTCCAGCTCTTGACACTCGCTGAGCGACGTGCCTTTTCGGGGCCGCTCTAGAACGCAGTGCAGTGGGCAAGGTAGCAAAGGGTTGGAGGGCAGCAGGCTGGGTCGGGAAGCCAGAATTCCAGAATCCAGATGCCTCCTTGATTCAGGAAAGGGAAGCTGGGAAGCCGGGAGGCCTGTGTGGAGTGGGTAGGCCCAGGGAGGGGGAAGGGAGCAGAGAGACCCAGACTCCCTCCAGCTAGTCATGGCTCTAGTCCCCCTCAGGCAGAGCCCCCAAGTCTCCCATCCCACAGAAGGACACTCGCGAGGTGGTAGCCATAAAGTGTGTGGCCAAGAGAAGTCTGAACAAGGCATCGGTGGAAAACCTCCTCACTGAGATTGAGATCCTCAAGGACATTCGGCACCCCCACATCGTGCAGCTGAAAGACTTCCAGGTGGGAGCCTGGGATGGGACTCCTTCAAAAGAGAGCTGGAGAAGGGACACTGTCTTCAGACTGCCTCTCTACCTCTAACTACAGTGGGACAGTGACAATATCTACCTCATCATGGAGTTCTGCGCAGGAGGTGACCTGTCCCGCTTCATCCATACCCGCAGGATTCTGCCTGAGAAGGTGGCTCGTGTCTTCATGCAGCAGCTGGGTAAAAACCTCTGATCCCAGCCTGACTCCCCTTCCCATGTTCTGTGCTTCTCCCCCGACGCACTGCTTTGCAGTCGTCTGCTGCCTAGCTTGGATTTTGGGGGCCCTGTCTTTTCCATGTTCCCATCCCTAGCTCCAGGATGCTGTGAGAGAGGCAGAGAGGAGCCTCCATCTGGGGAGTTTAGGCTTCCACTTGTGGGACATGACATAAGTACACTGTACCCAGGGCCCAATTTATGGAACCCAAGTGCTTTAGCAAGGAAAAGTGTAAGAACCTAAAGAGCTACAGCATCTCAGGACACTCCTGAGAGGAGAAGAGACTTGTGCAAAGTATAGGGAGGAGGACAGTGTGTACATAGGGAATGGCAAAGTCTTAAAAGTAGCTGGAGCCTGGTACTTCTATGCAAAGCATTTTGTAGACCAGCCAGGCCAGACCTGGGGTTGTGCAGCTTGAAGGGGTCTGGGGAGGAGAGAAGCAGGCAGAAGACGGGCTCCTCTGACCTGTATCTCTGTGCTGGTCCTGCTCCCCAGCTAGTGCCCTGCAGTTCCTGCATGAACGAAACATCTCTCACCTGGATCTGAAACCACAGAACATTCTGCTGAGCTCTGTGGAGAAGCCCCACCTGAAACTAGCAGGTCTGAGTCTGGACCATCGGGTGAGGGTTTTGGCGTGGGTGGACAGAGCTCCTTCAACCTGGGCTGCCTCTGCAACCTGGTTTTCAGCCAGTGCTCCATTGAGTCATCACAGTGACAGGCTGGATCCAGGGTGGGCCCATCACCAGAAGGTAGTACCTTTCTCACGCTGCCAACGCTCAAGTCCTTGAGTGTTTTGGGCAGAATTAGGGCTCAGTCTATGGTCAGAGTTGTGACTCGCTGTGGGTTCAGGTTTGGGGCTCAATTTGGAAATAGTGCCAGTTTGTAACCAGTGTCATGGATTGGTCTGTGATCGGGGAGCAGACTTAGTCTGTTGTCAGGGTGGGGCTCAAACTGTATTAATCTGGGGCAGCCTAGGAGGGTACATGGTGGGGCAAGGGAGGCCATGGTCCCTGTAAGAGCTGGATAAGAATGGACTTGAGGCTGGAGACCAGAGAATGTGGCATAGCCTAAGCTTTTTGGGAGCATTGAGGGGTTATGCAGGAGATGGAGGAGGAGGGTGCTACAGGCTGATGAGTGCAGGCAAGGGAGCAGGATCGATCCTGGAGAGTCAAGGGTGAGGCCACCCTAATACTGGAGCTGGGTGAGGCTTTATAGGACAGGAGCAAAAGCATCTGAAATTTAAACCCTCGCGCCTGGCCTCTTGCCTGCAGACTTTGGCTTTGCACAGCACATGTCTCCATGGGATGAGAAGCATGTGCTTCGTGGCTCCCCGCTCTATATGGCCCCTGAGATGGTGTGTCAGCGGCAGTATGATGCCCGTGTGGACCTCTGGTCTGTGGGGGTCATCCTATATGGTGAGACTTTTGTCCCCTAATCCCCACCCCAAGGGATGCACTGTGTGTCCTCAGGCCAGGCCTTTCTGGGCCTCTCCCTGATGGACCCAAGGACCCTGCTCTGGAGGGACATCAGTCCTCCTGCCTAGGGGTAGGCTAGGCTAGGCTCAACTCCATCCCCTCCAGTCTTCCCTCTGCCTCCTTCCACAGAAGCCCTCTTTGGGCAGCCCCCGTTTGCCTCCAGGTCATTCTCGGAGCTGGAAGACAAGATCCGTAGCAACCGGGTTATTGAGGTAGGTCTGGTAGGTCCTTGGCAACCATGTGGGAGGGTGGGGGGGAGTCAGGGCCCTGAGATGTTAGGCTCACTCCCATCTGCACAGACTGAACTGTGGGCTCCAGAATACCTGCTTGGCAGGGGGGCATTCTCCAGGGTGAAGTCAAGGCTCTTGTTCATTTCTGGGACCCAGGTTAGCCACAGCAGGCAGCCAAGGGCCTGCTGCACAGACTTCTGTGCAGGTCCCCATGGAGAGAAGATCACAGCAGAGCCAGGTACTAGCTTCTCTTGAGTATGGTCCAGGGCTAGGGGAGGACCCATAGTCAAAGCTTCACAACAGCTATGGGCAGGAGCCTGGGGAAGGAGGCCTGGTTCTCCATAACCTTGACCACTGTGTTCCTCCCAGGTCTGTCAGCGGTACCTCTGGAGGTCCTGACAGGCCCCTGGCTTCACGTCCAGGTGCTGGAGCCCAGTGTGAACTCTCTGTCCTTACCCCTCCTGCAGCTCCCCCTTCGGCCTCCACTCTCCCGAGACTGCCGGGATCTGCTGCAGCGGCTCCTGGAGCGGGACCCTGGCCGTCGAATCTCTTTCCAGGACTTCTTTGCCCACCCCTGGGTGGACCTGGAGCATATGCCCAGTGGGGAGAGCCTGGCACGAGCAGTAAGCAATCCCAGGGGATGGATGAGGTGGGGGGCCGGGTGGGATCCTGTCTGCCCCCTCTGATGGTGAACAGATGACTTACTCAGAGAGGGTGGCCAAGGGCAGGCTCAGGAAGACTGACCCTGGTGGGTGTGGGAGAAGGAAGGTGGGCCTGACTTCTGATCTGCCTATCAGACAGCCCTGGTGGTGCAGGCTGTGAAGAAGGACCAAGAGGGGGACGCCACAGCTGCCTTGTCGCTCTATTGCAAGGCTCTAGACTTCTTTGTGCCAGCTCTGCACTGTGAGTCCCTGGCCATGCCTGTAGCCCTGGGAGGGGATGGGAATTGGCTGTAGCTTTAGTGAGGGATTCCAGAAGTTCCCCATCCAGAATCTTGTAGGAGACAAGGCAGAGAATAAACCTGGAACTTGATGTTTTGGGGATTCTGGAGGGTTGGTGTGAGGCAGGGGTTTCCCCCAGACTCTTCACATGAACCTCCACCTTCTGCAGATGAAGTGGATGCTCAGCGGAAGGAGGCAATTAAGGCAAAGGTGGGTGAGGTCCCAGAAGGAAATGGGTCCCAGGAGGAGCACAAGGGGAGGGGGCCAAGAGAGTCCAGGCCTCTGGGGAATGGCTGACTTAGAATTGAAACCTCCTCTCCCATAACCAAGGGCTTGGGAGGGTCAGGCCAGCCTCATTTGCCCCTAATATGATTGTAGCTTGGGGCGATCAGTGAGAACCCAGAGGATGAACTTGGAGGTGGGTGCTGCCAGGGAGGCGTTGGGCCCTCACTCCTCAGCCTCTCCCCCTCCTACAGGTGGGGCAGTACGTGTCCCGGGCTGAAGAACTCAAGGCCATCGTGTCTTCCTCCAGTCAGGCTCTGCTGAGGCAGGGGACCACTACTCGAGACCTGCTCAGAGGTAGGAACCCGCAGCCTCCCTCCAGCTTGCAGAGGCAGGTTAGGGTCTGCAACCTGTGCCAAGAAAACAGGCTGCTCCTCTCACCCTGAGCCTTTGCCCCTCACTCCAGAGATGGCCCGGGACAAGCCACGCCTCCTAGCTGCCCTGGAAGTGGCCTCAGCTGCCATGGCCAAGGTTTGTGCCCAGTGGGAGGGGCAGGATGCAGGAATCCAAGTCCTGGCCGGAATGACCTATTGTCCACGTGGCTGTAGGAGGAGGAAGCTGGCGGAGAGCAGGATGCCCTGGATCTGTACCAGCACAGCCTGGGGGAGCTGCTGCTGCTGCTGGCAGGTGAGGCCCCAGCACCATCCCCACCAGTCCCCTGGCTGCTGTGCCCTCACCACCTGCCCTCTCTTTACAGCGGAGCCCCCAGGCCGGAGGCGAGAGCTGCTTCACACTGAGGTGCCCACAGGGGTTGGGGGTCTGGGGGGGCTTTCTCTTCTTCTTTAACTCTGCTCTTGTCTGTGGGACCTCCTGAGGTTTTCTGTGGGAGTTCCTGCTCCCAGGTATTCCAAGTCTGGTAGTCAAACCTCATAGACTTGTGAAGTCAGTGGCCCAGGGCTCAGATGAGCAGAAAGTCTGCTGGGTGGCTGCAGCTGGGAAGGCTTTGTGGAGGGAATGTACATAAGAGCTTACAGGGGAAGCTGTTCTAATGGGGCAGAGTATTCTGGAGAGCATCAGGGGTGAAGAGGAGCTCAACTGTAAACACACACACACCGTGTTTCCACTGCAGGTTCAAAACCTCATGGCTCGAGCTGAATACCTGAAGGAGCAGGTCAAGGTGAGCAGAAAGGGGCCACATGAGGCAAGGAGTGGTGGATTCTCTCTCTGCGCCCCCATCCCCCTTGTATATGCTGTAGCTCCCATGTCTGACTCTGACTCCCTCAGCTCTCACACTGCCTTTGTGTCCTACAGATGAGGACGTCTCGCTGGGAAGCAGAGACCCTGGACAAAGAGGGGCTGTTGGAGTCAGTTCGTAGCTGTGAGTCCTGCCCTGGAGTCTGACCCTTCAGAACAGGATGAGGACTGGGGGTGGCCCTGGCTTTTGCCTCTCTTGCCAAAGACCTCCCCCTCTCCCCTCTTAGCATGCACTCTGCAGTGACCCTAGAAGGATGACTGGATGAGCAGCACATCTGGAGTAAAGGGCACACTAATCCAGATGGATGCTCAGAATGAGGTGGCCCTGTACATTCCTGAGGAGCTTCGTAGATGGACACCTCTGAAACCCCACATCCTAGAGTCCCCAGCCTCCCTTGGGATGTTCCCCACTCCCAGAGGATCTGGCATCCTGTGTGTTGTGTGCTGGGACCACCGGGGCCCAACTGGGAGGAGAGTTTCTCCCATGAGGCCTTTGTTACTGGTGACTGCTGGGTCTGAGCCTGTCCATCTAGGGTATCAAGCCACCTATGGTTTGCTCCAAGAAGATGACAGGGGGCCCTCTGCAGAGCACTTCTGCTTTCTCCCTGCCAAGGGAAGCTCCTGCCTGTGCCCTAGACTTGCTCTTCCTTGGAGCCTTTATTCTAACTCACCTCCCTCCTTGTACTGGAATGGGGTGCTCCATGACCCCTCAGGGACCACACAACCCCACAGTACACACTCAGCCTCACAGAACTTTTCAGACTTCCTGGGAGCTCACACCTGCACCATCTCAGTACTTAGATAGTCCTTCAAGCATGAAAGTAGTCTCCTTTGAGAACCCCATACCTGTTCCTGCCCTGACACAGGATCCTCAATCCTCGTCCCTCCAGTCCTCTTCAGGGAGCACCACAGTAGCCATGGAGCAGGCCCTGTGCTGGAGTTTGGGCCTGGGTCTCCCCACCCTGCAGTGGGGGCCACTGATACCTCCACAGCCCACAGCATGGGCTCTTATGAGGGCAGAACTTACCCTGGAGAAGAATGTACACACCTCGAGTTACTTCATGGTTTCTTTTTAAAGTCGGAGAAGGTCGTGGTGACTTCTAACCCTTCTGTCCTTAACTGCCTCCTTAGGGCAAGAGTTGTCTGTCCTCCCTACAGGAGGCTGGGTGTAAAAAATGTAATTCACTGTTTGTCTATTAAATTATTTTTGGTACTTGTGCATCTCTTCTTGCCCTTGGAACAAGTGAGGTAGCCCTGCTCACAGCCTGGGGCAAAAGAGCCCAGAAAAACCTGGGAACCTGATGTAGGGCTGGGAGAGGTCACTGTAGAGAGTGATAAGCATGTCAGCCTCCAGCCCTCATCCCTGGTATTCAGGAGTCAGGATAACTGCCTAGGGGGCCAAGGAGAGGTGGGAGCTCAGGCCCAGGAGCCCTGTGCGCCTCAGCACAGTGGTAGGTGGTGGTCCTCTTAACCCCCCTCCCCCCACTGTACACTCCTTAGCCAGGGTCCTGGGGTTCCCCCCCTTTAATGAGTGAACAGTGAGCTATTTTGGGAAAAGGGCATCATCTATTCTCAGTCCCCAAAAACCCCCAAAATGGGGTCATTTGCAGCAGCTTCTGTGCCCTTGGTCTGATCAGCCCTTGTTGGGAGTCCGTTAAGGGAGGGTGGTGCACGTGCAGGCAGCCACCAGGAGCATTCCTTACACTTTGGACTTGGGTTTTTGGTTTTTTATTTTGGTGGGATTGAACTCAGGACTTCATGCTTGCAAAGCGGGGACTCTACCACTAGAGCCACACCTCCAGTCCTGCTTAGACTTCTGGGTACCACCAAGATGCTCAGTTTTCCACGTGGTATTAGACTGCTTCTGATGCGTGGGGTGGTGGGGGGAACTTGTTCTCTGGGGGAATTAATTCCCCTGAAGCCCTCGGCATGGCCACTGGGGGGCAGCGTGGAGCCGGCTACAGTCCTAGCCCTGCCCCTTGGCTCCACGGCTTGGGACCTGTTGATCTGCATCTATGAAAGGAGGATATCTGCCCCATGGGAATCTGAAACTAGGTAGCATACATGGGTCTGGCACAGAGTAAGAATTCAGTAAAATGTTATTTTCAGATCTAGGAAGCAAGCATACTTCAGGTTATCTCTGGAAATGAGCCAAACAGAAAGAAGGCCTTGGTAGGTGAAATGAGAGGGAAAGGAGAGGATGAGTAGAAAAGACTGGGAGGACAGTGGAAAGGACAAAAGATAGGTGGAAGGTCACTGTTGTCCCCCCAACTTCCCAATTATTACAATAGCTGCATTGCTGGCTGAGAAGGGCCTGAAGTTCTTTCCTATGTGGTTGTGATGAAGAGTGAGCCCCTGTGGGGACCAGAGACAGGAAAGTCCTGAGAGACAGAGGCCCTGGGAAGGGCCCCTCCCTGGATGCATATCCTCCAGACCGATCCTGGATCCAAGCTGGAAGGAGGGGTCTAGGGACAAGGGAAGCGGTGGGCTCTCTCTGTAGGACGTTTTCTAATGGCACAAACCTATGGGAGACATGCAAATCTGCTTTTCAGATATTTTGCCTCTTGGGAGCAGAAGTACCCTTCTACCTCTCACCAAAGCAAGGCAGATGCCCCCCAGTAATGTCCAGGGGCCCCCACTCTGCCTTAGCGTCCACCTCCCTAATTCACTCAAGCTCAAAGCCAGTACCAGGCCAAGCTTTGGTGAACACCTGGGCTTGGGCCTTCTATTCTCCCAGGGCCAGAGAGGGAGCAGGTTGAGGGACCCAGATGTCCCTGTGCCCAGCCTATCCCTTGTTGGGCTTTCTGGTAGGATATAGAATCTTGGTTCCTTCAGGAGGTCATCTGGAAGGGCTCTTGTCTCCAGAGGCCAGGTTGCTGTCTCACCCCTGCCTCCCAGAGAGTTGGCCCCACTCTGAGACTGGAGTTGGAGCGACAGGGCACGTCAGTGACCACTTTCCCAGAGTAATGCACACCTACAGCTATACATTTAAAATTATACACACGCACACACATAGACATGAAAACACAGCCCTGTCCAAGGTCACAGGCGCCTGCAGATTCCCCACAGACTTATTCTCATGGTCACATCACAAGCACAGCCCTTGCTCAGTGAGGTTGAGGCAGCCACAACTCTGCTGCTTTCTGGACCCAGGCTACTCTGGCTCCCTACGCTTCACACAGACTCTGGGAACAGTAGTGCCTGGCGGACACTGGGTTAGAGGCAGGGCAGTGGGCTTTGTAGCTCTCCACCTCCTCTACAGCCTCAGGTCTATGGGATAGAGGACAGAAGGTCTGGACTCCCGGGCTGAGCATCAGCTGGGTCAGTGGGCACTGCCAGCAGCCCTTGTGGGCAAGTGAACAGGCCTCAGGTGTCCCCAGTGCCTGCCTGAGGCTCCAGTGTCTGAGAAGGGACCATATGGCTATTGGGGGAAAAGGAGATCCTACATATGCCAGGCCCTGGCCACCACTCCAACTCCTCCCTAGGGGCTAGCTGGCCTCTGGAATGTCACTTGTTCTTTCCACACCCTTCTTGCCACTGGGAAATGGGCCTGAGATGTCTGGCTGGGTGGAAGGCAGGAGAAAGGGAACTTTTGTGAATCATAGATCCAGAGCCCTGAAGGTATATATGCTGGGGGTGAGAGTAAGTAAGAGAGGGAGTGGGGACAGAAGAGCTTTTCCCCCACCTTTGATATTTCCTGTGTCCTCAGACTGCCTGCAAGGGAAAGGAAGCTGGGTGCTGGTGGCTCAGGCCTGTAATCCTAGCTACGCAGGAGGCAGAGATCAGTAGGATCGTGGTTCGAAGCCAGCCCAGGCAAATAGTTCACAAGACAATATCTTGAAAAGCTCCATCACAAAAAAGGGCTGGTGGAGTGGCTCAAGGTGTAGGCCCTGAGTTCAAACCCCAATACAGCAAAAAAAAAAAAAAAGGGCAGGAGTGAGGGAAGGAAGAAGAAAAGGTGGGGCAAAGAACAGGAGGGTGGGAGTGAAGGAGAAGGCCTGAGCATCAGTCTCCAAAGTATGGTGACCTAATGGTGTGGTTTTAGACATTGTGAAAAGAAAGTTTTGATGGCAAGTGGTTTTCTTTTATCTTCACCTCATACCAGGTTGGTGGACTGGTCATGGAGCATGTGATTGTCTCAGAGAGAGTGGAAAAAGGACAGAAAGACAGCCGGAGTCCAGGCATCCAGGGCCTGAGGGCCTGAGACTGGGGAGAGGGATGGGGCAGGTGCAGGGGAGGAGATCCAACTTGGCCAGTACTGTCCCCTGTGGAGGTCATGGGTGCAGGACAGGCACTGAACCAGGAATGAGGCAAAGGTGGGGGACACAGATGAGGATGTGGATGGCCAGAGAAATCCAGACAAAGGGCTGACAAAGGGGAAGGAAGAGGGAGGCAGAGCAAGGCCACCAGAAGCAGGGATCCCTCATGCTGCTCTCTTTACCCACCTTTGCCTGAGCCTACAACTCCTTCCTCTTGCCCCAGACCCTCCTCCACTGTATATCAGGGACACTGTAGACAGGTCAAGGCTTCTTGGGTTCCCAGATGGTTAGGTTAGGGGGGAACCAGAGGCTCAGTCCCCTTCCACTTCCTGACCCCAGGTGCCAAACAGCCCTGCTTTGACAGGGTTCAGTGAGTTTCCCTGAGCGCCCCCACTGCCTGCCACGCTGGCCTCTCCCTCTTGGCCTGCAAAGCACTGAGGGGGAAGGGGCTGTCCAATCCCATTAGGCAGAAGGGCCCTGGAGGGCGGAGAGCTGACGTGGGTCCTGCTGCTGACACTGCTGAAGAGAGCCCGTGCTCCCTCACGCCTGGCTTGGGACTCTTCCAGCTCCAGGAAGGTCAGAGCGGTTTTTGTCCAGTGGCCATTAGGTCGTTCCTAAGGGCAGCCTAGGAGCTCTGAGGCCCAGGCACCTTGGCAGGATGCACAGAAGAATAAGGCCCAGGGCGACAGCCTCAATCCTGCCGGCCCCACCTTCCTAACAGCTTGTTTTCTCTTTCTCCAGGCTGCCCCCCTCCCCAGGGTACCTACTGCACAGGTGTTCTCTTCCTGGTTCTTATTTTACAAAAGAAACCTAATGGAAATTTTGCTAAACCTGCAGATAGCCTTTCCTGCCTCTAAATCCTGGGTGGCTTCCCCACAGGCTGGCCTCAGCCTCCACTGGCCCCAGACTCTCAAGGCCAGGCGATACCAGGTAGCCTCTAGCCCTTTCCACCTGCCTGACAGCCCCTGGGATAACTGCTCCAGCAGAACCTTGGAGACACCATCCCCTACTCTGCCCACCTACTACAGGATGAGATTTCAGCTCACTCTAAAAATGTTTTTAAAAGATCTTTGGTAGAGCAGAGTGTGGCATGGCAATGCATGCCTGAAATCCCAGCACTCAGGAGGCTGAGGCGGGATCTAGGGAAAATTTTCAAAATAAATTTATTGCCTAGGTACAAACTCCTCTGAAGACACCAGGTTCTGTGCCAGGATCAGCTTCCTGCCTTACCCTGGGCCACCTCACACCAAGCTTTAGGGAACTCCTTCCTGCCCCTGCCCTGCCAGCAAAGCCCAGGAGGCACCACTTGACTTCTGGCCCTGCACCATCGTCACTTTTTTTTTTTTTTAAAAGGATTCGCTGCCATTCATTGATATGGTCTGTCACATGCAAGGGCTAAAGAAAGAAAGAAAAAGAACTGGGTGCCAGTAGCTCACGCCTGTAGTCCTAGCTACTCAGGAGGCAGAGATCAGGAGGATTGAGGTTCAAAGCCAGCCTGGGGTAAATAGTTCCGAGAGACCCTAGCTTGGAAAAACCCTTCACAAAAAAGGTAGAGTGGCTCAAGGTGTAGGCCCTGAGGTCAAGCCCCAGTACAGCAAAAAGAAAAGAAAGAAAGAAAGAGGGAGGGAGAGAGAGAGAGAGAGAGAGAGAGAGAGAGAGAGAGAGGAGGGAGAGAGGGAGGAAGGGAGGAAGGGAAAGAAAGAAAACAAGCTGAGTACTGGTGGCTGGTGGCTGGTGGCTTATGCTTATAAGCCTAGCTACTTGGGAGGCTGAAATCGGAGGACTGTGGTTCAAGTCCAGTCCAGGGAAATAATTCGTGAGACCCCATCTCCAATATACCAGGACAAAAATGGACTGGAGGTGTGGCTCAGTGGTAGAGTACCTGCTTTGCAAGCATGAAGG